TAGTGACTCTCCCAGCATGCCTCTAGGGCTCATCTTCTCCTGTATGATGCTATTTTCCCTAGAAAAAACCAGAAGAAGAATTTTGAAACGAAGCGCCGCCGTCTCGAGGTGGAACCTGGGCAAGAGCACTTTTGCTCTCCGGCGAAGCGATTCTGCCGGGGATACTTCCCTCCGGGAGGGGGAAATCGAAGGCATCAACATCACCAACGATCGTTCATCGTGGGAGGAGCAATCTTCATTAACATCTTCGCCAACACCATCTCCTCTCAAACCCTAGCTAGTTCATCTCTTGTATTCAATCTTTGTCCCAAAACCTCAGATTGATACCTGTGGGTTGCTAGTACAATTGATTACATCTTGTAGTTGATGCTAGTTGGCATATATGGTGGAAGATTAAATGTTCAGATCCTTAAGCATATTCAATACCCCTCTGATCTTGAACATGCATGAATATGATTTTTGAATAGCTACTTTTATTCTTGAGGACATGAGATAAGTCTTGTTATAAGTAATCATGTGAAGTTGGTATTCGTTTGATATTTTGATGATATATATGGTGTGCTTTCTCTAGTGGTTTCATGTGAACATCTGCTACATGACACTTCACCATACTTTGGCACAAGGCAAGACATTATGGAGTAATAAGTAGATGATGGATTGCGAGAGTGATAGAAGCTTAAACCCTAGTTCATACGTTATTTTATAAGGGGTTGATTTGGATCCATATATTTCATGCTATGGTTAGATTTATCTTAATTTTTCTTTCGCAGTTGCGGATGCTTATTAGAGGGGGTAATCATAAGAGGGTTGCTTGTTCAAGTAAGAGTAGCATCCTAACACCGGTCCACCCATATATCAAATTATTAAAAGTAGTGAACGCGAACCAACTAAACATGATGAACGTGACTAGATGACAATTCCTATTGTCCTCGAGAATGTTTTGCTTTCTATAAGAGAACTTTCCGGCTTGTTCTTTGATATAAAAAGGAGTGGGCCATCTTGCTGCACCTTGTTACTATTTTTCAAGAATCCATAGCCGAGGCAGTACCTACTCAGGCTTATATCACTCACACAAGATGTATAAATAGTAGCAAGAATAAGAATTATACAATTGAGAAGAATCAAGTAATATGGCCGATAGATACTATCGTCCTTAAAGTGAAACATGTTTGATGCGCTTGTGTGCGACATTGCTCCTGTGCAGTTTTGGTTATAATAAATGTTCCTTGGTATGGAAGCTTTACCAAGAAACGAAGGGCATGCGTTGACTGTCAAAATTGTCAGATTTGCATTATATGGCAAGGCCAACCGGTCTGATCAGCATGTTGAAGCAGTCCGACCGGTATGTTGTCAGTCTTGTAGCCGATCCAGCAATGCAGACCGATCACCAAACAGATCAGACCGTTATAATCAAAGTGCTCAAAATGCAAATTGGACTTCACCATTGCGTAGATCTCGTCGTGACAATCAAAATGCATATGTAAGACTAGCCCCATCCTATAAATATAAAGGGCCACACCCGGGTGGGGACAACCAAATGGAACCAAAACATTTACTTTTTTGATAAAGCTATTTTTCGAATGGCAGGAAATTTGCAACAGTTCCAAATGACCTCTGCGCTGTCCGATCCATATCGTATGCTCGGATGGAGTTCCATCTGATCCACAATTTCAGGGTTGTTTCCCACGTTTCGCTATAACTTCTCTGGCTCCATCGGATTCGCTTTTCCAGGCTGTTTCTCAGGTTCTGCTGACTCATGTGCAGTGTTTTTTCTTCTCCAGTTCCTGCTAGCACTCCCGCAAAAAAAAAATATGGCCGGTGGGATCAAACTCAAGACCCCTAGCATCAACGCTATTGTAACAGCCATCACACTAGGTTGTGCTTGTTGTGATATAAATGGTATCACAGTACATGACCTTTTGTAAACTGTAATAGCAAAGTTCTATTTTTGTGATTTTCTCCATAAGCTTCTTAAATAGCACAGTAACTCATGTGCAGGCACCATGGTGATGTCCCTTCCATGTTTTCGGCCCTAGAATAAAAGTTGTTGAAATCATACCCCGGTAACTTTTGTTGAAATATGCACACCGAAGCCGATAAATCGCCTACAGGCACCATGGTACCTTTTTTACCCAAAAAAAATATATATTAATGTAGCCCGTAACTTGTGTGTAAAAAGCATGATAATGTAGACACAACAAAGGTGATAAGTCATGTACAAATACTATGGTAACCTTTTAACCCGGGGAAATTTTATTGGAAAACAAACCCTGGTAACTTCTATGTAAATAGGTTGGTAATATACACATAATAGAGCTGATAACTCACGTAAATACATCGTGATAATTCTTTTTTTGACTCTGGTATAAAATTTGTTGAAAACCATACCCCCGACAACTTCTGTGCAAATAGCGCATTAATATACGCACAATAGAGTTGATAACTTTGACTAGGGAAATTTTCCCTTTGAAAAACACAACCCCGATAAGTTTTGTGTAAATGACATTATAATTTGTGCACCGCGACCTTGATAATTTTAGATAGAAACATGGTGGTAACATTTTCGACACGAGGGGTGCTTGAAACGTACCCTTGCTAATTTCTATGTAAATAGCATGATATTTTATGCACTGTGACATGATAATTTAGGTACAAACACCATAATAGTTTTTATCTGGGAAAAAATGTTTGAAGACACATCCGCGATAACTTCTATATAAATACCTTGGTAATATTAGGACAATGACCTGATAACTTAGGTACAAACACGCTCATAACTTTAATCTAAGAAAAAACAATTGTTCAGAACGTAATACATACATGATAGCATGGTAATATAAGCACAACAGTGTCTGTTAGTAAGTTACCAGATTCGTGGCATACATACTACCATGTTTTTATAGAGAATTTATTGGGATGTGTTACAACAACTCTTTATTCATGTGGTCAAAAAAGTTACCACCGTGTTTGTGTGTGAGTTATCAGATTCGTGGCGTATAAAAATTATCTTGCTCTCTTTTACAAATAAATTATTGGGATGTGTTATAACAATGTTTTTTTTTCTTCGAGGCGAAAGTCACCATGATGTTTGTGAGTGAGTTATCAAGTTTGTGGCGTATAATTAGCATGCTCTTTTACATTTAAGTTAGTGTATTACAACAACTTTTTTACCTAGGGTCAAAAAATTACCGTTTGTGCATGATTTATCGAGTCTGTGATGCACGAATTATGGTGTACAAAAGGAAAAAATGGTAAAAAGAAATAAAGAAAAAATGTCTTGTTTTTCTGGTCGTGTCTGTAGCAGTACAAATTTTTATCGACCTTCTTTGTAATCACAATTTGAAACTTGACTAGGTGGATATGGCAAGTTATAATTGACCAAGAGGCAATTTTTCCCCGCATTTATTTACCATGCCAGAAAATAAAAAGAAAGTGGGAAAAGTGATGAGATCTTAGGACGGGACAAGTGGATTGCGATCGTGCGTGCCCGTCCCTAAAATCCTGCCGTATGGAGGTTAGTCATGTCCTTACTTTTTATATCTCTAAACCCTGAATGCCTCTATCAACCTCTATGTTGTTCGCATACTGATCTCTATGACCAGAGATGGCGTCCTAAGTCTCGCTGGTCGATCTAGGGCACACTGACGACGTCCACGCCCTGACGGGGTCCCGACAATGGCCTTTGCTAGTTTTCTCATAAACTAGTCGTTCTTCGCCACGTAAGTGCGTTGGTTATCTTTTTGCTCGTGAACCTAGCCATCCTCCATCACATAAGCATGGTAGTTATCCTCTGGAATGGTCAATTTGGGTTAAACCCTTGGAAACCGGTCTAACCGGGTTGCTGGACCGGTCTGTGTAGCATTACTGCCGTTCGTTCTATTCGCGGCCCGCACAGTCTAGTGCTCTCATGTGTTGGTCCTAAATTTATGCCAATGGATAAATAATTTTGATCGGACGATTCCGCATGCGTCGGTGGCGATCGGGCGCAACGGACGGCTCTCGCATGTGTACTCGTGACACCCATATGGCGCAGCTGCACGATTGAGTATTTAGGAACACTCAAACCCGTCTCAAATGGGTCCAGTCACGCCCGGGCAGCCAGCTGCATGCACACAGGGGCCCACTTGCAGTGACTTGGTGAGAAGACCGCGGGCGGAGCTCGCGCCCGTGGCCGCCCCTGCGCTTGGAGCTCGCGCCCATGGCTGTCCCGAGGCCGGAGCTCGTGCTCCCATGGCCGCCCCGAGGCTGGAGCTCGCGCCCACGGCCATTCCGAGGCCAGAGGTCGCGCCAGCCGGTCCGAGGCCAGAGGTCCCGCACATGGCCACCCCTGCGCCTGGAGCTCGCGCCCATGGCCACCCCTGCGCCTGGAGCTCGCGCCCATGGCCACCCCGATGCCGGAGCTCGCGCCCATGGCTTTCCCGAGGCTGGAGCTCGCGCGCCCACGGCCACTCTGAGGCCGGAGCTCGTGCCACCGCGCCCGAAGCTCGCGCTCACGGCCAGTCCGAGGCCGGAGCTCACGGCCCCACACCCGGAGGTCGTGCCTATGGCCGGTCCGAGGCCGGAGCTCGCAGGCCCCGCCCGGAGCTCACACCCACAGCCGCTCCGAGGCCCGAGCTCGTGCACCCAACCGGAGGTCACGCCCACGGCCACTCCGAGGCCGGAGCTCGCGCCCATGAGCAAGCTGACCACGATCTGGCCAAGACTGCTCACACCCATGGCATTTGTGCGTGCTCTAGTCACGTCGCACGTAACCTGTTCGTCGAAATGCTTCAATATGAGGGGGCCAATTTGAGATGTGTGGATGTGAACGCGGGGCATATGAGCGCTCAAAGCAGATGATTGCCGCTGAAGATGCTCTAAAATTCTACTGTAGCTCATATCATGCTGTAGCATAGGTCCATGGACTAGTACATCTAATACTCAACATCTCTCGACAAGTTTCGTACCATGCTTATTCTAGCTACTGTACATAATAGTTTTGCAGCATGCACCTGCATGTACCTCGCACTGCCGATGCGTATATGAAGGTCATATTATATCTCTTCACACGAAATATATTGAGTACTCCCTCCGTTCCTAAATATTTGTCTTTCTAGGCATTTCAACAAGTGACTACATACGGAGCAAAATGAGTGAATCTACACTCTAAAATATGTCTACATACATCCGTATGTAGTAGTTATTTGAAATGTCTAGAAAGACAAATATTTAGGAACGGAGGGAGTACTAGTTTAGCGCTCGCTCGATGCTCCGCTCGAGTTCGTCGTCCTTGAGGCCGACGACCTTGCCCACCTGCTTGCAGTTCTTGAATAGCACGAACGTCGGATACGCTCCCTCCACTCCGCAAAGCCCCGCCAAATACTGCACGTACGGTTAATAATTGATATCAATAATCACGCGCGTCCGCTTCCAAATAATGATACATGCATGGAATCATCTTGTTGTGTGTGTACCTCGAAGTTGTCGACGTCCAACTTGCAGAAGTCTGCCTTGCCTATATACTGCTTGGCGAGTTTCTCCAACAGCTTCTCCATGGCCTTGTACAGCGTGGAATTCTTGTCGTAGAACGCATACACCAACTAGATCATTTCAAACATTAGAGTTCTACTAGAGGTCGAGTCTCCAGAAAAGAAAAGAAACTTGAGAGATAGAAAAGCTAGCTGCTACTACCTCTGTCCTGGTTTACTGGTTTGTTTCGTATTTTGTGTCAAAGTTTGACTATAGATTTAACTATCAAAATATTAATACATGTCATAAAAAATTATATCGTTGAATTCATATTTGAACATAGTTTCTGATGATATTATTTTTGTTACATGTAACTTATGTTTTATTAGTTAAAATTATGATGAAAATATGACCCTAAATGCAGTGGCGGAGGTAGAGGATGGACAGGGTGGGCCACGGCCCACCCTGAGATTGGAAATATGGGCTTTATACCATAGAGAAAATGCTAAAAAGTAAAATAAAAAATAAGATTATATATACAATTGCACTGTTGGCCCATCCTGGCCCAGTGGGCTAGGTCCGCCACTGCCTAAATGCGAGGGGACTAATAAAAAGACAGAAGTAGTACTAGCTAGGTTAGGTACGTACGTACCAGCTTGTTGTATGGAGCAGACTTGTTCCAATGCAATTTCCATTCATCCATGTCTTTGATCGAGATCACACTTCCGGAAGAGCTATCCTGAGGGGGTTCGATTAATCGTTTTCTGCCCAACGCATAGTCGAAGGAGTCCGCAGTTAATATAATTATATTAACTGCAGGGTAACGTCTGCCTACAGAATTAAACAAAATCAAGGAAGTGGGTATAGTTAAAATTACAGGAAAGTAAGAAAGTTTCTTTATTGGATAAATCAGCACGAAGAGAACACAACAGGGATCCAGAACCGAAAATCTGTGCGCACATCGTTTCTGTTAGGACGCTCGAATAGAAAGAGAAGAAAGAAAGAAAAAAGATGGAGCAGGGAGCACCGCAGCATGCATACCATCGTTAAATCTGCGCCAGCCGCCGCCGCTCCACCAGAACCACGGCCGTGACTTGTCCAAGTAGTAATAGTAGCTGTTCATGCTGGACTAAGAGGGGTGAGCTCAGGAGGAAGGAGTCAGTGCAAGGTGATGGCATTATATAGTGGGCCGGTGAGCTAAGGCCTACGGGTGGATCAGCCGTCTGGATGCGGCGAAGAATATGTGCTCACAAAGCTTAGTCTTGCGGGTCTCGTGTACGCCCTCGACGTCCCTCTATATTAAGATTAAGGCTAGCCATAGTGAAGGTAACATAAATAGTAACATACACTTGAGACTCACAAACATGCTTATGTGACAGTCAATTAAAGAAGAGGGATAATTACAGTAACATAGATAAATACCGTAACATAATAAATGTTATGCTACTATGTGTCATGTATGGCAATAAATGAGACCACCTATGATACTAATCTATATTACTATGCATTATGAATGTAGTATAATACACTAGTATCATATACTCCTTACTATGACCAGCCTAAGTTGTAGGAGTACTATGTACCTATACATCTTCAACCCAGAAGCTTTAGCAAATAGATGCATCAATGTGTGTGGGGCAAAGAATAGATGCTCGCAAGGGTTTGCGCACCTGTCGTGTACACAATCGAAGGCTGCTGTCTGGCGGCAAAGAATAATTCTTTTTAATTCTTTTCTGTTTTGCTTTCCAAAACTCAATTTTTTTTTGCACACTGCTACTACTACGTACCTACAGTCAGCAATGCACCACTGATCTAGATGTTGTTTTCATTTATCAAACAATGCATCTTTCTTGGGGATTTATTCTCAAAAGTTACAAACGGAGGCCACCTTCCTATTCATTGACAAAGTGTCAAAATCCAATCAAATTCCAGATGCTCACATCTGCAGCACGCCCACTTGGGCTTGAGGTTCAAGACGTTATCTTTCCACTGGATAGCGCACCTGCGGTGCAAACTCGAACTTTGTTCCATTAAAGAATCAAAGAATATTAGGCGCAGAGGGCATCAAGGAAAGACACCTAAAGGAATGAAGATGGGGTGGCATGTGGGGTGTGTGTGTGCGCCTTTAAAGATTCCGACTCCACTCGTTTAGAAAAGAAGAATTCCCAATTCTTCCACACTCACACTACTTTTGTCAACATAGATTTACTGTATTCCCGGCCCTCGATTCCTTGGGCCAGAAACTATGCAGGACCTGTTTGAAACATGAAATTGTTTTCCCGTTCTTGCATTTTTATGTAAAATTCCGTACGCTCTTAGACTTTTTCAGGAATTTTTTTTTTTTGAAAATGGCCGGGGAGGAGGGCAGCTCTCCCACCTAAGACCACCGATGTTTGTGTTAGGAATAGTGAGCTATGCGGTCTACCCTCTGTTCCTCTGTCTTATTCGTGGTGTTATTCACAATGCATAATGAGGCTAGAAGGTAAGCAATTATTTATAGACTCCACTTTCATGTGTTATAAATTTTACACCCGTGTTTCGGAAAATCCGTGCGACTCCTGAACCATGTCATCAACCACAATCAGACATGTCAGTTGAACGAGTCTAAAATATATTAGTCCCTAACGCACATGTGTGAGTCATGTGCCATGATCAGTTGTATATATGAGATCAATTCCAATCAGATCACGTGGGTTAACCGCCTACACAGCCAATCCTGTAAAACAAACACAACTCTTTCATCGTGTTGTACCCGGGTCAAACATGTACGTACATACTAAACATTCCAGTGGAGTCACTCTCAACTTGTACCCTCTACTGTATTCCAGCACAAACGTCCTCGGCACCTCGAGTACAAACTTCTTGAGTTAGATTCCGCATCAATAATTCCCTTGCCACTCGCAACAATAAATAATTTCACATTGAGGTGAATATATAATAACCATAATAAATGATATGAATAAATGGTGATAGAAACAAATGAAAGAATCCAACATCTCCTGCTTGGCTGAAACATTTCAATCTATTACCTGAAGTCCCATGTCTCTAGTATGCTTAAAAAATAATTCCTGACTAAGTGGTGTGTTCCTCGTTGGCGTGCTTCTTTACCGACTTAGCTTCTTCTCCGGCTGGGCCGCGGAGCGGGATGAAGGACTCGATGCTCAAGCTGCGCTTCATCTTGTTAGCTTTGTTGCTTGTTGTTTCGATGTCTGTAAGCTGCTGATCAACACTTTGTAACCTTAGCCATTTTGGGCTTTATTAATTTAAATCTGGGATCTTTGAGTCTTTTATCTTAAAAAAGTGGCTTATTTAGTGGGTCTGCAACCATACTATTTTCTTCTTTCATCTATATAGGGTCTAATACGTTTTTCGATGCTAAGTTTAACCAAATGTTAGAACAATAATATATGACATGCAAGTTACACAAAGCACATCGTCAAATTCGTATGTGAAAGAAGCTTTCAATGATATAATTTTCACCTTATGCATGTCATGTATTATTGATCTTGTCAATATTCAAACGCGGTCTTGAAAAACGCATTAGGCCCTATATAGATGAAAGGAGGGAGTAGTACTAAGAAAATAAAACAAACGGTTATTCCTGATTCTATTTATTACATCATGAATATATGTAATGATGGACAGCAACAGTTTCCGATCATTCTGTTTGTAGGAATAGATACGAATGCAGTATCAGTGAACATCATGCAGTCGAGCGATGCACATGCAGTCCAGCAAAGTTTTCACGCCACGCGACTCCTCTCTACTAATTGCTTTCAATTGATTTAATTAGGTATGCATGCACGCATGTAAAACAAAAATATTGTTGTCAGCAAAGATTCCAACAAAATTCATAATTTAAAATATTTTGTAACTCAAACCATCTCTCCGACTGAAAAACCGTTTTGACACAAAAGATTCGTCGTGATGAGACTTCAAAACTAGATCGCATGTTGATATGTTTCAGCGACGTTTTTAGGTAAAAAGTCACCACATGCATGCTACACAAGTTATCATGTTAGTTGTGCATAAGTTATCATGTTGCTTACACACAAATTACCAGGCATAAAAATAGTTTCTCCAATCTTCTCTTCACATTCCATTTGTGCATGCATTAGAGGGGAAAAATTGATGTCATCCTAAATTCTCCGTATTTTGAATCTTAAAATTTTTTTATATCTCAAACTGTCAATCCAATTAAAAAAGTCATTTTCACATAAAATATCCGTCTTGGTGATGCCTGCAAAATTAGATACCATTTTGATATATTCTAACAACTTTTTTCATGCAAATAATTACCAGGCCTGGGCTATGTAGGTTATTAGCTCGGATGTGTGTATACTATCTATTTACACATGGGTTATCGTGATACGTTTTAAACAAGTTTTTTGGGGACAAAGTTACTGTTGTGTTTGTGCGTTAGTTATCATGCCCGTGGTTCGTATATTACCATGCTATTTACACATTAGTTATCAAGAATATGTATTCAAACAACTTCCTTCTTCGATGTCAAAGTTACCACGATGCTTGTACGTGCGTTATCAAGTCTGCAGTGCGAACCAAACTGTGGTTGGATGGTCAGGTAGACAGTGGTATCCCAACCCACCAGGCTTCGAGTCTTGGTGTCCGAAGGGGGGGAGGGTTGCAACAATTTCCACCCCTCCCTCCCACCCCAGGTTCAAAGTTATCATAGTGTTTGTGCATGAGTTATCACATATACAGTGTATATAGTACCATGTTATTTACACAGAAGTTATCGAATATATATTTTTAAACAACTCTCTCCCCTACTCCGTGGTACATAAATTATCACGTCTATGGTACATAAGATATCATGCAATTTACACAGAAGTTGGGGTATGTGAACAAACATTTTTCATGGGTAAAAGTTACTGTGGTGTTTTGTAAGTAAGTTATCAGGTCTTTGGTGCATATATTATCATGTTATTTACACAGAAGTTACCGAAAGTATGTTTTCAACATCGTTTCCCCTCGGGTCAAAGCTACCACAGTGTTCATACATAAGTTATTATGTCTGTGGTACATATATTATCATATTATTTACGAATAAATTACTGGATATATTACAACCCCTCCACCCCCTTGGGGGCAAAGTTACAGTGGTGTTTTGTACATTAGTTACCATGGTATTATCGACCACCTTCTCTCTAGTAAAAAATTATCATGGTATTTTACATAAGTTATCAACACTGTTGTGCGTATATTACCATTCTATTTACCCAGAAGTTATCAGAGGTATGTTTCTCAATATATTTTTCCCTGGGTCAAAAGTTACCATGCTGTTTTTACATAAGTAATCACTGTGTATAATACCATACTATTTGCTTAGAGGTTGTAGGGATATGTTTTTCAACAACTTTTCTCTCAGACCAAAGGTTAGCATGATATTTGTACATGAGTTGTCAGCTACGTTGTGTGTGTATTACTGTCCCATTTGCACATGGCCGCGGGAGGAGATGGTTGAGGGAGTACTGGATTAGGGGGTGTCCGGATGGCCGGACTATACCTTCAGCCGGACTCCTGGACGATGAAGATACAAGATTGAAGACTCTGTCCCGTGTCCGGAAGGGACTTTCCTTGGCGTGGAAGGCAAACTGGCTAGTCCGGCTGGCCACCGGAGCTTCCATCTTCTGCACATAGAGGCAGTATGGTTATTACCTGGGAATATGATCCTCCGTTCGTCATCGTTTCCGACGACAACCAGAGTCTCAGGGGCTACTATCTACACATGACACACCTAGCATGTGCAGGACTATTACACATTCCTTTTACGTACCTCAAAGCCTGTCAGTAGACTCATAAAGGCTTAATGCAATCCGCTTTCGGCAGACGATATCCTCTCCATCACCATATTCATCAGCACACGGTGATCATCTGAGATGGCCGCTCGCCCCACCAACTCCCTCAGAACGTCTGATCGCACACTAGACAGTGCCAGACTCTTTTGTCTGCTCTCTTCGGGAGTCGGACACTGGGAGCCTCGGGGATCAATAGGATTACCTTCTGGCCTCACCGGACTCGGAGTGGCCCTCCGCGACGACACTTCAGGGTCGCCCGCTTCCGGAGCAGAGGAGTCCGGAGGAGGCGTCTCGCTCTCCATCA